CCCTCATTAAATTAAATGTAGGCTAGCCTAATCGTCTTCACTGAATATTAAAGTTGATTATAATTTTGTGTTTATAATGAGGACTATTATTATATTTACAGTAGGCTACCATTCAGATGTTTGAGGTCATTAAGATTTTAAGAAATTAAATACTTTAATTCAATGATCAATTCAATTGATAAAAAAAGTAAATTGCTTACTTTCAGTAAATTATTTATCAAGAAGAGTTTTTGAGCATGTTGGTGATTTTCAGTGCTTTGGCGATGTTGAGGTTTCTGACACTGACACTGACCCTGTTGCTCCAAAGTTTAAAGAGACTTTAAAAATTCCTGTTTAGAATATAGGCTACTCACATGGGAATTTATACAGAAGAGATTTCAATTTGTTCTTCCTTTCCTGGAACTCTTGAACACTCTTTTACTGCTGTGTTTTTACCTCTACATTTTGGGTGGATGTTTTCAATTAGCTTTCAGTGAAAAAATATGTTTATCTTTTAGTAATAGAAAATACCCTGTTTGTAAGAACATATTGAATTTCCTGTTTTCTGACTGAATATGGTCATTTTGGTGGGTAAATATCACATTTACACATGTAAATGGAAGAAATGTAAACCCTCCTTTAGCCTACTATATTTCTTAGATTTTGGGAGAGTATTCCAAAGTGTGCTTTCAAATACAAAAATAAGAAGATATATGGGACACGTAGGCCTATGCTCCTCATTAAAATAGTTACTAGCACTGTCCTGATTTATATATTTGTTATAGGCTAGTCATGAGTCCATTCAATTTCAAAACTTTTTTTTGTATGTCAGTATGGGGTGCTTTACAATGTTACACTGAGAAAAATGACTCAGTGGAGTTGTAATTGTAACAACAACAAAAAAAATCGATATTTTCAACTAATAATACTATGTATGGTACTTTACTTTGAAAATTTGAGTAGGCCTAACGTACTTAATATCAATTTGTTGCTAACACTTGTTTTTTTTTTACAATTAAATGTTGTATGTATAATACTGAGTAATCTTTATGAGGCTTTTTAGATGTGTGCCTTTTCGAGATCTATTTAAGTAAAATGTACTTAAAAGACTAACGGGGATTAGGCTGCTGCTGAAGATGCGATTCTAACTGAGGCCATTTTGAAATTTCGGTTCAAGGGGTGACAGCAGGACTGCATTTTCTGCATCGCTATCAACCCAAAGGCACTGTAAAGGTAAGCATTAAATCACGTATGATCAGATTAATTGCCGAATGCTTTAAATGTCACCAAATATGCGACGATAAAGCAAAATGTTTGCTTTATTAGCTGGTTCATAAGTACTCCTGCATTTAGCCTTGAAGCTAAAAACGCTAACTTTAACTATTTTGCACCACACTTTTCGTTTTCTTTATCGACACTTTAAGTAATATACTTTTGTTTTAACGTTTCCACTCAGCGTTAAGCACGTGAGTGATGTAGTAATGGATTAATTTGGTTTTACAGCTGTAATTTATTTGTAATTTGGATTATGTGCCCAATATGCCTTAAACTACTGCTTGTATACAACTAATAAAGTTATTTGACCGTTTTCCTTAATTATCCTTTGAAATAATATGAAATATGTCTTTAAACAAGAAAAAATATAGTTTCGTAAGCATTTAACGTTACACAAATGACTGAACAGTCGGAGTAACGTTACGTTAGGCGGAGACGTTTATTCTGTGTCGGAGTTTGGCTTTAGGTATGGCGTTCCGACCATAGACATAATAAATACCTAGACGCCTCTTTGGCCGCTCGACCGCACATCAACGTCGCCACCATATTGGTGAAGGCAACTCTCATATCGGAACAGGCGAAAGCATACCCGACTCGTCGGCAGCTTGGGCATCTACAAACCGTCTCACAATAATAAAAACAGATCTCGGGGTATTATCTTTCACAGGTAAGACTGAACAGTTGTGTCTGTATATTTTTTGGTCATTTTTAGCTTTATGTTGACAGCTTAATTAGCCACCAGTTTCAGACTGTTAATAGCTAGCGATATCACTAGTAAGCTGTGAAAGCTGAGACTTTATATGAAATCAAAGTTTAAATTACTTCTTAGGTTTTAACTTTTATATTGTAGTATATATCATAAAGTAAATTGTGTTATGAGCACATTATGTACAGTGAGCACTTTGACAAGACAATGCCAGACTGTCAGGATTAGGGATGGAGCTAAATCATCTCTCTTTAATTTCACTAACGTTACTTATTTACAAAGAGTAAGTTATCATCACTTGATTATAAGGATTTCATAGCTTATCATAAATCTATGGACTTATTATATATATATATATTTTCCCCCTTTTTAGCCAATTGCAAAAAGGACAACGCAAGCCTTAAGAAAAGCTGAAGAAAGCCTGTTCTCTGCATTTCCAAGAGAGTAGGCTATACTTCCACAGCCTAATGTTGTATTAGTACTAGTTAAAACCCAGAATAGCCCTGAATGAATGGCCAGAATTACCTGGTCATATTCAAACCACACACTCTCTCTCCCCCCTTACTTGTTTCTTACTTTGTTTAATAATTATTACACAATACTATTATAAAACTACATTTCATTATTATTTATTTTACTTTATAATTTACTATTAATTTATTCTTCATTATTGTCTAGTCTATATTATTCCACCCTTGATATTCAGTGTTGGGAAGGTTACTTTGGAAATGTAATAGGTTACAGATTACAAGTTACCCTACTTAAAATGTAATAAGTAGTGTAACTTTTCAATTACTTTATTAAAGTAATGTAACTGATTACATTTGATTACTTTTTGATTACTTTTCTAAATTTCTAATGTTTTCAACTGTTTATCATTTTCAAATATGTAAACCAGGCAGGGTAAACCTTACAGTAGTACTCAACACTGATTACTGTCACACTTTCTAAATCCTTCATCACTTGAATTAAGATTATATGTCAATTTTAAAGTAGACATTGGATGCAAAATTCACTTTTACATGGTGTTTGCATATAAATGTATCTTAGCAGTGGTTGGACACAACCACCCTACAATGATAAAAATCCATTCCCTCCTCTTTTTTTTTTATCCCCTAAAATCCTAAACAGTCTCAATTATCAAGCTGTTTTGATTTTCTGAGCAGTATGATGTCATATTGTTCAGGCCCCACCCACAATCGCTGATGCACTGTCCAATATTAGCTGTAGCGACAATGTCTTGCAATGCAGGTGTTTTGTAGTTTTGTGATGTAGAAGAACATAAGAATCTTAATTTTCTCCCGACATCAGAGCCACTTAGGACGCATACGTTTGGTTATGGTAATGCGCCACTGAATACACCTAAATTAGTTTATGTCTGCGCAAATTTTTTTACTCCAGACTGCTTTCTGAACGAGGGACAATTCAAGGCATGTGTAATGTGGTGTTTTGTTTCATGTTCATGTTTTCCATGTCTTTTATTTTGTAATTGTTTCATGGTCCCTGTTTGTGTCATGCTTCCCTTGCCCTCATGTATTCATGCCATTGGTTCCCCTGTTCATTGTGTCATGTTCTGATTGGTTGTCTTAGTCATGTGTCTTGTTTCCCATTGGTTTGTTCTTGTCATGTGACCCTCTTGTTTCCTATAAGTAGCTTCATGTTCCCATTGTGCCCTCGTCGTGTATTGAATGTATTTAACCCGCTGTTGGTGAGTCTAGTCTG